AAACTTATATCATACATTAATGTTTAGGATTAAAATTAAATTTAAAAGTCAATACAGAATTAGATTTATTTTTGAAATATATGTCATATAATTACTACTATTTATACTAAACCTACTATTTATTGTTTACAAGTATTACATAAATAGAGACTTTTCTAACGAAAGGGAAGTGATGTAAAAGTTATTAATTTTTAAAATGTTTCTCATAAATAAAATAAGTTTTGATATTATCTAAATATTTTGTAATTACAAACATAATATCGTCAATAGGTTTCTTTAAAAATGAAATAATAAAAACAAAAAAGTCGTTAATAAAAGTCAAAGACTTATCATTAAAAGTGACAAAACAATTGTTAATGAAATTTACTTCATTATAAAAAACTACTGGATGTCTAGTACTTATGCAATCGTATCATCATATCATCATAAAAGGTGTGACGAAAACAGGAAAATATTTTTCACAAATAAATAAGGAATAAAAAATTAAAAATTAAAATCACTTTTATGGACACAAATCCATATTTTCTAACATAAACTACCCGTCCCTTTGGTGGAACGGATGTCAATGAAAATCACCAGAATTTCACTCTCACTTAAAAAATTTTGTTTATTTTTTTTGTCAACACATATTCAGTATATAAATAGACAAAGAATATCATAAATTATATCACATTTTTCTGAATGCTTATGAATAACCTTCAAAAATAGTTATGTATATTCCGGCGCTTTGGGGAGACATACAGAGCTCATCCGACAAATGGTTGGGTAAACCACAGACCTATTTGGCAGGGATTGGGCGCACAAATCATATAAACCTCGATACCAATCACTTTGTTCTCTCACATCATATTTGATATTCAAATTGTGAAGCACTCCCTACCCGTGCATTATAGCCATTCTCATCATCAAGAATATTCATACGAGTATTTCACACAATACACAACAGTCTCTCATAGTATGTGGTAATCACGAGATTTTTCATCCAAAGTGTTATTGAAACTAATCTACAATTATTGTAACTAATAATAAGCTTCACTAAATCGCTGATAATAAGCTCAATAACTAGTGTAAAACATATTGCATACCAAAATCACGAGTAAAATAAACTCAAAGTTTGATTAGTAAACAGTAAAAGTTTTTCAACAACTTTTGTCTACAGCCAGTGAACGTCGCGTAAGTATTATAGCAATCGCTACATAACTTGTAAAACACTTTTCAACTTACAAACTGTAACACTGTTTGCCATACAGTTCACCGCTAAGTAACTACTAGTCCCCTAACTGTCTGAACCAGTGGTCTATTTAACTAAAAAGTCTCATACGTAGCGGACAGGCATGTCGTCGGGAATCAGGGGTCAGCTGACCTCGAAATACGGTGAGCTAGTCCGGGGCGGGTTGGCCGAGCTGTTGGGCACCGGCATACTGGTGCTGTTCGGGTGCGGGTCGTGTACGTTTGGCAACAAGGAGATGATTGCGCTCACCTTCGGTCTGGTCATCATGTGTATGGCCACCAGTTTGGGTCACGTGTCCGGCTGTCACCTAAACCCGGCGGTCACTCTGGGGCTGCTCCTCAACGGACAGGTCGAGTGGCTGAACGCCATCGTCTACGTGATTGGCCAGTTCGTGGGTGCTGTGGTCGGCGCCGGCATACTGGCCGCCATACTCGACACCGACCACCTCTGCCCCACTGGTCTCAACGCTATGATCACACCCTTCGCCGGTATAGTGATCGAGACGATCCTCACATTTGTCTTGATTCTGGTCATCTGTAATGTCTGTGAGTCCAACCCGACTATGGCTCCCTTGGCCATCGGCCTCACTGTCGCCACCGGTCATCTGTTTGCGGTATGTCTTCGCCAGTCATTTGTTTGTCTTTTTTGTGGAGTTTTTTTGGTATTTAAATCAATTATTCTGTGATTTTTTTATCACAGAAAGTAAAGTAAATGTTAATCGCAATGCACTTGAAATACAGTACTTATGATTTATTTAACAGTAATACTGGAAAAGTCATTTGGATTATGAAATGTGTTTTGAAATTTTTTTATCTTTTATATTAATATTTCCAATTATTTATGATTATAATTATTGTGATTTGAATTATTTGAAAGGTCAGGATTGACTGATTATTGTTAAATATAAGTTATGACATTCCGTAGGTTTTTATAAATGAGAAATTATTTTAAATTCAAAATAAATTCATTTAATCGTGGAAATGATAGGAATATAAACAGCAAAATAAGTAAACTACCAAATAATTTATAAACTTTATGTGAGAATTAATTTAACTTAACAAATATCAGTATATGAATTATCAAAGAATTTATTTCATAAAAATAATTTAATGTCAAAAACATGTGAAGTATACGAAAAGTTAACTAAACATATGCCTTATAATAATAAATCGTTGACAATAAGGTCGGGTAGTGTGAGGGGACTGTTATCTCTGGTCCTCTTAATCTATTTTCCTGTTTTCCAATCGCTTTTGACGTTCAGATAATGTATGACTGAAATCAATAATTAGGAAATGTTTAATCAAAAAACTAAATATTAATAACATTTTCTTTAAATGAATAATAAAGTTAACAAAACAACTGATGTTTTCATTGAGTCCTATGAACTCAAACAAGTCAATGGGAAAGTAGTGATAAATTTTGGTTGACTTCTTGTGCTTACAATTAAATACAATAACATCATTGACATGTAATCCCTGTCCCCATATGCACACAAACACATGTAGATTTAATTTATGCTTCAAATTAACAGACAAAACAAATTGTGTTGTCGTTAATTGAGTATTTAGTTTATGGCATCATTAACAATAGTTTATTAACTCAATGTTTTTGAATTAATATTTAATTCTTGTTATAACTATTGAATCAAAAGAATATGATTTCTTATCATTAGTATAATTGGCTCATTGTTTCGTTAATTTGATAATTGCTTTACAATAACTTATACCAAGTTTTTAATTAATAAGTCAATTATTTGACCAAAAATTTCTAAATAAAAACTTGAATTCAATAAAAATTGATTCATTTAATTCAATATGATTTTCATACTGCATTACTGAGCATTTGTTGATTTCTGCTTAAATCACAGATCGAGTTATCCGGCTCATCCATGAACCCCGCCCGTAGCTTTGGTCCGGCGCTCATTGGAAACATTTGGAAAGACCATTACGTAAGTCATAGACAACTCCTATAGTGTATGAGCTTTCAATTAACACAATCTTATTTGCGACTCTTGTTGTCTTTTGTATGATTCATATTAATAAAACTTAGAAAATATTTATATTAATATAAATATTTATATTATTTATATTATCAAATTTTATATTATATTAATATAAATATTTTCTAAGTTTTATTAATATGAATATTTGTTAATTTTTATTTATATTAATATTTTCTAAGTTAAATTAATGAAAATCATACAAAACACACAACATGCGACTATTTTTTGCTGAGAAACCCTGAAAACTTTTCAGTGAAAGTTTAACATTTAAAATAAGCTTATGTTTTAAGTTAGCATTTGTTGAAATGATCGAATAAATCAAATTAAGTTATAATTAGTTATATATACTTTGTTTACTTTGGCACTGAATTAGCATTTAAAGTTTAAATTTGTTTAAATAAGAGTTTTGAGGGTATATTAAAACTAATAAAACATATTTTGTATATAACTTTAGGCTTATGGTTTACATTAACTTTGAAGTAAAAAGATACTAATATTTATTATTAAATGTTAATTTAGTTGGTTTCTCTTAAAGTTTTTATTAAAAATATGAAATTAAGATAATAAACAAAAATTAGTTTTATAAGTACTTTTAAAATGTATCATTTCATAGTGAGTGCTCACAAGTAATCACTTATTTCTCAATAATAAGACTTAAAATTGTGTCAAATAAATGCATTAAATTAGTCAAATAAGAATTGCATTAAAAATACCATATTTTGTTAGATTATATTTTAATATTGTATGTAATTATGAAAAACACAATACAGTAACTAAATTAAAAATGTAATTTCATAGCAACTTACAAAACATTCAAAAAACGAAAACTAGAGTTTTTTAAATAAGTTATATATTGATTAAACCGTGTTTTGCATGGACTGTATGGACAGGTGTATTGGGTCGGACCGTTGATCGGCGGCGCTCTGGCGGGTCTCACACATCGCTTCTTCTTCTTCAACAGCAAATTGTCTAAAAGAGGAGAAGCCGGCCCTAAAAGCAGTGCTCAGCCACAGGAGACCACTAATGTCTGATAAATAATGTTTTGTTTCAAGTTTTATTATATCTCATAACTAATTCACAAAACCATTACATTTATACAAAGACAAAGGTTTCCTGAATTTTATAAAATAATTAATTAATTCTTATATTAAATTTATACAAACACTTGTCGTATATTGTATTTCCTTATCTTATATTTGACACTACATTACATTAATAAACATTTGTCTAATTGAATCTAAATTGCATTTGTCTTTTTTGTCTCAATTTATGTGTTTATCATTAATTTTACTTTAAGACAATTTATGAAATTTAGTGTTAAACAAGAAAAATTCACAATAACAAATATTAATTCATTCACTTCTGTATAATAAATTCAATGAAAATATGACCGTATATACTGTAACACAATCCAAAGTTTTTGTTATTTAAAATTCATTAATTTCTATAATCACTAATTTTATGTAAATTAGTGAATCTCTTGATTTGAGCATAAGTTAAGTTCAAATATATTATTTAAATTGATACCGTATAAAGTTTATTGTCTTACTAATTGTCTTAAGTTATAACATTATAATGTGTTCATTGTTTTAATTATAAAATAATTATATACCGCTATTATAAAATAATATAAAATGTTTAATGACTCACTTATTAAGTGAATAAAGTGCCAAACATTTATATAACTACCGGTATTACAGTTAACATAAATTCAATTCAAATCTAATACAGTAAAGTATTTAATATCGGTAAAATTATTTGCTAATTGTTTAAAATATTGTGAAATAAATTTATGTTTACGAAAAATTAAAACTTTTTATTCTTATAGTCAAATTGAAACTTAAATCCTTAAATTGTTTTATTTTTATTCAATTTTGTATAATCGGTAATAAATATATGTAAAGATTTACGATTACCGGTAATTCATATACCAATAAAATAAAATGTAATCAAATACACAATTTTCATGACTAATACGGTAATCATATTTATTTAAAATCACAAATAAATGACTTATAAAGTGTTGACAAAGTCAGTAAAACAACTGAATAATTAAAACAAATCAATGATTCAAAATAGTGAGTAAAATGTTGGCAATAATTAGTCGATTAGTTACAAAATACGGAAATAGAAAAACAACGATAAAAATGTCACAAAAATGATTAATCAGTCGATTAAGTGAATAAATTGTAATCATTTAATACTAATTGAAGCAAACAATTAAGACAATAATCATAAATAACTCTAAACTCAATTCAATTGATTGTAAACTTCAAAAGCATTTCGTGTCTCATTAGTGGACATCAAAACACAATTACGAAAAGTACTAAACTGTGGATCAGTTTCTAGACTCAGTTGAGGCGAGAGGATAGTCAAAGACAAAGAGAGACGTCGAGAGTGTCAGTGAGAGTGTGGTGTTTGGGATCAAGTGATGCCTCACGTCTTGTTGGCCACCCGTCGCAGCAAAATATAGATCTTCTCTTTGATCCACTCCTTGGCATACGGGGCGTACGTATTGGTGTTGCGCTGATAGCTGTCCACAAACACAACAATACAGACAATCAATGAATCAATGAATTGGTGGTAATGAGAGGACATGTCTTACACCAAACAACTCAAGTCAGTCAAGCCGTCGATGAAGTCAAAGAGCTGTGAGATGTCGTATGTGATGGACGGCGTGTCCGGATTAGTGCGCTTCAGGTGCTGCTCGTAGATGTGACACACGCCTCAAGACATAGATAATGAGACAATGAGTGGTAAAGTGATGGCAGTTGTGAACCAATGGTGTGGTGAGACATACCCTCCATGGCATCGTTGACAGACTCGAAGTCACTGTAGGTTCTGGTGTCAGGTTTGCCGGTCTGTACCAACACTATGGTGTGCGACATGTCTTACGGATCCGTTGCAGTGATGTCTTAAGTGGTAAACAAATGATGTATTGAAGCGTCAAATTTGGTGAAAAGCCAACAAAACACTGTCAGTGCGTGCGATGACTGACTGAACGCATGCGCACAGAGACTGCACACAGAATTTGTGGACAATTCAGCGTTAATTCAATTGGCATTACAATCGACACTCAAATACCTCTCATTGACAGGTAAGACATGACTGCAACGGATCCGTTGGACGCACCGTAAGACATGTCGCACACCATAGGGTTAGTACAGACCGGCAAACCTGACCCCAAATGGGCAGTGCCTGGAGTTGGCTAAGCGGAGGCTATGGTAATCCTTTACCACCGGCACCACCACTACGGCCACAACTGGTTTATTGGTCAGTTAGGTTGGCATAGGTAGGGGAATGGCATGAGATTATGGTTGCCGATCACCAGAACATATATGATTGTCAACTGTACTGTACTATAGTTACAAATGAATAACTTTTGAATCTTATACTCACATTATTCTCAAATGCAAACCTAAATTCATAAATTGTTTGCTTTTTAATTGTAATAAATGTTGTATATTCCTAAATATTATATAAGATTTATGATTAATTTATATATCAATAAATTAATTCACTAATACGGTAATCAAGTGAATTTATCTGGTTTATTTGCGTTCTCTATAATAAGCATTAGTAATATATTTTATTTATTATCCTTAATTAAATTTGTTTTTCATATGAAATATAAAACAAAGAAATATTGTCATTTCAAATGACAGTTAATGGTAAACATAATATGATAACAATTATGGCTGAGTTTGACCCAACATTGCGTACATCCAATGATAAGTCAATACCTTCTGCGGGAACCCATGTATACAGATATGGCATCTCATGGTTTGGATATTAGTGGTCAACAGTTCTTACGACGACTTCTTTATAATGAATTTATGGACATATGAACTGTTTTAAGGAAAAATGCCACCATTATTATGATTATCTGTAAATGTACAAGGTATCAAAGTTTACAAATGTAAATAATTATAATTGAATGGTAATACCTCGTAGAAGTGTTTGTAATTGATAATGAACAAGTGGTAGCAATAAAAGCCAACATTTTTCTCACTTAACTTCTCAACCCATGTTAGCAACTAAAACAAGTTAATAATATAAATTAATCCAGTACAAAAATATCATTTTTATAAGTAAATACAATTTTAAAATTCATTTCGTTTTCAGACCTTTAATTTTGAGGAATTATTGAGATTTATTTGGTAATAGATTAATAAAACGAGTAATTTATATGTCATTTTTGATTCATATACCACTTGAGAGGCAATATTTAATATAATAATAAATATAATCAACCAAAGGATTGTTGAATAGATAAATGCAATTTTAATGATTATATTCATGTCGACAAATATACTGATAAAACTGCTAAACGTTATGAAAGTGATGCCACAGAATATGAACACAAGTAAAAATTTGGACCAAAAGTTTGCATTCAATTCATTGATCTCTTTGTGAATGCAATTAATTCTCGTAAGAAGTTGTCGTAAATATAAAGCATTTAATTGTTGTTTCAATACTAATAGTCGATTGAAATCGTGGTTTAAATTTTTAACCTTTAGTTTAGTATAATAAATGATTAAATAGACGTAGATGATCTCATAGAAAAAATAATTTCCCAAAACATACCCGGAATAGACAATTAAAATACACCACATTAGATTAGACAATGATATATAAATGAGTAGATAATGATTGACACAATTTATGAGACATTGAAATACAAGTATTAATGAGAAGAGAAACGCCACGAAAGGAAAGCTAAGGATTAGTGTCTTCGGATAAATCAATAAATACTTTGAGATTTTCATCAATTGCTGGACATCTTTGGCATTCCTGAGACCAATACTTTGTGGCGAAACCAAACCCGACATCATCTCAAATGGTCTCAAATATATAGGTTTGTCTTCGCTGTGGTCGACGGTGTGAACCAAATGCGATAATAAGACATAGAGTCCAACTAAAATGATGTATATATTGACGTGATATTTAGCTTTTAGAAAGTATGGAAAGTCACCCATTAATAGGTATATGGTATCATCACTGCTGTTAATAGCGATTGCAATAAAGCACCTGGACACATACATGAAAACAGCCAGCACACATAACAATGGGTGACAAATAAGCGATCTTTTATTATCACCGAATCTGAACCACGAGATGCCATATCTGTATAAATGGGTTCCCGCGGAAGGTATGACCATATTTTTAGGCAAACACATGGAAAGATCTCGGTCATACAATTTACTCATAATTTTATTTAAAAATTCATTTATAAGTTAAATAATTATTTTGATGTGTTTAGTAATTTTTATTTTATTAAACTTGTTTCAATTAAATGAATATATTAATTTTTACTTTTATAAAAACTATTCAAATTTTATGCTTAAAATATATACAATAAAGTTTATTGAATAAACAAATATAAGTACATTAATAAATACATTTGAAACCAATGCCATCAATATAATGAAGTGGATTACGAAAAGCAATTAAATATAGTATTTTTATTTTATTTGTTTACTATAATGAGATTTATATGAAACAATCGTGAGATATTATAATATTTTCAACTTATTTCGATTCTCAAGAAAAACAGTAATTATTATGAAAATAAAAAATACTTGAATTATTGACACGAATTTACAATTAATTTTGCAGTAAATGTATTTATTTGATTGTAATTAACATGTATGCATAATTGTGGTTATAAAAATTATAAAAACTAACAATAGTTACACAATAAATGTATATTACAATTAAACAAATTGGTTTAGTGTTTATTGTTTACAATTCTTTAAAATATATTCTTTATAATTGAATGTTTTATTATGCATTCATTACTAAAATGATATAACTATAGTACAGTAATTTACTTTTTATTTAATTTATTGTATCTTATATATAGATTTTATAAATAACACATAATAATAGAAACCAATAATAATTTTAACTTCATTTTTTGATTTTCAAAATTAACTTCAAAAATGTCAATAAACCTACAAATGGTAAAAAATTGGTGGTATTATTGAACTTGCAAATTGGATCCCATTATATGGGTGTTGAATGGATTATATAGAGACTTGAATTATTTTTAGGAAAAATGCAATTAACATCACAATTATCTAGACAAATAGTAAAAGTTAGTTAGGTTTATTTATATTCAATGTATACCTCATAAAAATGTTCATAATTAATAATAAATATTTTATAGCAATAAAAACCAATACGTGTTTGTGATAACTTTTCAATCATTGACATTATCTGAAATTAAATAAAATTTAACTAAAATTAAAAGTATATTTTCTAAATAAATGAATGTATAATTCAGACCTTTATCTTATAATTATTGTTAAGATTAACCTTGGTAATAAATAGTGAAGTTAATAACTTATAAGACATTTCAATTTGTGAAACAACTTGTGAGGCAACCATAAGTATTATAATGAATATGATTAAATTAATTGTGGTACCATAAATGAAAGTTACTTTGATTATAATATTCATTTCGACGAATATATTCACATAAAGTGTAAGCGAAATAAACATAATGTTTTCAAAAACTACAATAAACATAAATTTGGACCAAAACTTGGCGTTCAATTCAGTGATCTCTTTATGACTCGAAGTAATTCTTATGAGAAGTTGTCTCACATTTGAAACACTATTTTGGTGTCTATTTTGCAATATATTAATAATGTCTCCATTTATACGCTTGAGCTTCAGTTTTGAATAAAATATGATTAAATAGACATAAATTATTTGATAAAACAAATGATTTCCTATCACATATCCAATAGTCATGTTATGGATGCTATGAATTAATATTAATATGGATATAATTATGTAATTATTATAGCAATTGATAAAACATTGCGTGAATAGGATGACAGCAAATACTAGTCCCATCCCTGGGAAACTAAACACCAATTTTCTAGAGATTTTAAATAAAGGTTTAGAAATTTTCATTAATAATCTGACATCAGATTCATTGGTGAGACCAATACTTTGCGGTGATATGAACCCCGACATCATATCAAATAGTCTTAAGTACGATGGCTTCACCCCTTGCCTGTGGTCT